CTTAATTTAATATTTCTCTATTATTGGTTTAGTCCTTTTTACAAGTTTAACATTTTATCTCTTAAGGGTACACTTTTAAAATTATCAGAGGTAAGTAATTCGGATCGATTTTTACCTTTTTAATTAAACTTGCAATTACGTAGTACCGAAAGGGCAGTTCAAGGGTGCTAATCCTTCATTGACTGTAACCGACTCCCGAATCCGACACATCTTTGGTAAGACGCAGATTAGGTAAGAAATAAGGTATCCGATCAACCCATTTATTCTTAAAATAAATTATCGGTGGTGACTCCTAATCCATTTTCCTAAGTGAAGCCCAATTTCGGGCCCAACCGAAAGACGGCTCCGACAGAAATGATATGGTTAAATCTTATTTAATTGATTAAATGGTTTTATGCTATGTTTTTATACTTACATAATATTGTTATGCGATATGAAAAGTATAAATTAAATGGATTGAAATTGAACATGTATATGTGTGTGTGAATAGTGTTATACATGTAAAAGAAAAATACTATTATAAGTTTATTTTACGTGCTTATTACATAAAATACTCTATATTGATGTTTTTATTTTTTTTTATGAGATTTTATATTAATTAATATCTTCTATAATTATATAATGATTGCTTAATTTAAATTGTGAATAGATTAAGGGCAAGCCACATGTACTTAAGAAAATTTATATGCCTAATGTGGAACTATAATAATAGTCGTCGTCAGTGTGTGGTTGTGTGGCGGTAAACAATAGCCATAAAGTAGATGTCTCGATAAATTTAATTATAAATATTACAAATGTTGTATAAATAGATGGTGATGTAAAAATATATGATAAGAGTTGTACTAAAATCATAGAGTAATATAATATGAGAAATCATAATAAAGAAAGAATAAAATATGATAAGTGGTTAGGTGGTTACGTATGATTAGTAATAAATTATATTATAAAAATTAATTGAATTATTATTTTTGAGTAGGTAGTGTTAATTGTGATATGAAATAGCGTAGACCTGCTTAATTGCAGGAAATTAAATGTGAATTGGAAATTAAATATTTCATTATGAATTTATGTAATTAAATAATTTAATAATAATTATTAAATTTGGAAGTTTTTAAAGAAACAAATTTTTCACAAGTTTCAAGTAGGAAATGTTATACAGAAACAATATATCATCTTTAACTTGTATTTGGGTTCGAATGCGGGTTAAGAGTGTTACACGTTTAGTTAACTGCAATACGCAAACAAAACATCTAACATATCCGCATGATATGTCAAAACAAAATCCAAAGTCTGGCGATTAAATATGTCTAGTTCGTTAGCCTACAAATAGCCATGATGAGCATACGACTGACACATGTACTAAAAACACTATAAATACCCTCAATTGAGACCGAAAAAAGGGGTGACCCTTTTATATTCAACCCTACATCTTCATATTCTTCCTCATAGTCATTTCTCTCACATAAAGAGACCAATCAACGATTGTTCTCTCATCAATCGTCCTTTCATTGACTATCTTTTCATCGGTCGTGATTTTTCGTTCAACTCAGAAAGGATAAACCTTCAATTGCCAACAATATAATTTTGATGCCATCAACAATTTTTATAGATATAAGGGTCAAACTTTCGATCGTTTAATTTAAATAAAATATGAGTAACCATCACACTATATCTTATAGCTAATAATAAAAATATTTTTATTCATATAATATAATACAATTAATTTGTCAATTATATTTTGTCGATTTTTTTATCAATTATTATATTCTCCTCTTTTTGACTTGTCATTTTTCGAGGTTTTTATTTTTATAAACATCTCGACAATCTCGTAACGAGTCGTGCATGGAACGCAACTAAAATACAAGGGACAAAGAAATCGCGTGGGGTCAGTTATTAATATTATATTAATACTGTGTTACTATCGAGCTAAGTAATATATTAGTATCCAAAACAAAACAAGTAGTATCAAAGTAGTGGTGAAAAATATAATATATTTCATAAATAAATAAAGATTTTCTTCTTCTTCTTTTATATAGAGTTATAGTTGCACTTACATTGGATGAGGCAATAGATCCTTTAAGTAAGGTCAATGATTTGAATTTTAGTGTTTGTGAATGGAATAAATTAGATTGAGAGGGTCGCCTTGCATCTGCATTACCCGATGATCAATAGATCAGAAATAAGTGATTATACTAAAATATTTAAATAATAATTTTTACCAAAATTTTGTTTGCTTTTAAGTGACATGTTGTTAACAATAATATAAAATAATTATTTAAATAAAAAGTAATCATTAATTTTATTAAATGAAGAGAAAATATCCTATAATAATAAAAACAATTATAGGAAAAAATAAATTAATTAAAAACCTTATATATTTTCTTTAAAATTATCAGAGTGCAAAAACTAATCAAATATAAATAAAAACATCATACAAATAAAGAATATTTTTTTGAATAGAACAAGAAAATTATTACAACTCAACCAAATAGTTTAACTAAATGATAGAAAAATAAATATTATTTTCAAAGTTGAACGATAAACATCATTAATACTAACATAAAAGTATATAAAAAATAATGACTCATTAACATAATGACATTACCACAATTCATTCACGACCTAATTTTGGTGATTACGGAAACTTATTAGTATCCAACCTAAAAGACCAAAACAATAATTGGTCAACAAAAAATTTAAATAAGGATATGAAAAAGTAATACCAAATCTAACCATGAAAAAAATGAGTTATAAAAGTATACAAAGAACACACTATAAGAGCATATAAAACCATCAATCATTTTATAAGAAAAGAAAAAATTAATTAAACAAAAAAAAACATATCTCATATTAAAAGAAACGAGAGAAAAGAAAAGAAAATGTATTTACCGTAAAAGGGAATACAGTTAATATTGATAAAATTATTTATAATTATCTATTTTGTTTTTATTGTAAATGAATAATTTTTTTTGATTAATCTATGGTAAATAAAAGGTAATATATGTTTAAATATATATCTCAACATTTCGATATTAAAAGTTTACACTTTTGGCATCTATAATGTTCGAACTCGGGTCCTCAAGGAATAAATATTATATTATAAATCATATACATTATCTATATATTATTTTTTAAATAAATATTATATTATAATACTATTCAACAATAAAAAACAAACTTATTCGTGTTGTGTTTCAGTTAAACTTATTTTCGGTTCAAAATCTCATATATTTTTCTCTTTAAAGACAAAGATGATTTCAGTCTACGCGAGCACCATTTATCAAAAAATAAAATGTAAATAATTTATTAATCAGGGGTTAAATAAAAAAATTGCAAAATGTGAAGATAGTAGTAAATTAATAATAAATAATAATCTACATCAAAGAAAGTTGTTGAGAGGTGGTGGTGACAGATGGACCAATCTAAGTTGAACACGTAATGCTTAAAGGTTAATTACGTGGGACGTCGAGGCATGTGCCCAGCAGACTAATGAACCATGATGAGAGAATATATGCTCATACATACCTAATTTACTTAACAAATACACATATACTTTGGTAATAAACCCTTCTAATTAAATGTTCCCAATATCAGGATTGGACCATTTCGTAACTTACACTATTTTGTAATATTTAATATTATAATCAACTTATAAAAAATATTATAATCAAATATTCATTTTTCTCATTGGTAACTCATTACATCTAGGAGGTGAAAAGAGCATTTTGGGCCGGGTCAATTCGTAACTGGCAAGCCCATTCCGTGCTCCTATGTATTTTGGTAAAACAGGCTGAAATTAGGTCAATTATGCTTCTCGTGTATGCATGGTACTCAGCTCTGCGATTTATTTTTGGGTAAACTACGCAAATGGTTATTAATGTTTGACTAAGTTTTTATTTTTACCACCTATGTTTCAAAAATTATAAACCAATTTGTAATAAACGATAATATTAGTGATTTTTGAAACATTAGTGGTGAAAAAGAAAATTGATTCAAACATTAGTGATCATTTGTATAATTTATCCTTTATTTTTTTATAAGTCAACTTAAATACTTTATTTTGATGTAATTATTATTATTTAATTAATTAATTAATTCAGACAACATTGTTTACATTTATTATGAACAAAATTTTAAATCTTATTTCACTCACTACGTTAAAGATTTAAATAATGAATATTATATAAAAGATTTAATATTTCGTTATTAGACTAAAATAAATTTTTTGAACAGCCAGAATAAAATAATTGGATTCACTTACTATGTTTAATTTAATGTTTTACTTCAAATCATTAGAAATCATTATGAATTTTTATTATTAAAATCCAGAACTTGTTAGAATAACGATTTTTTGCTAATTTATTTATTTTAAATTATTTTAATAATTATAAGATTATATATGTTCAGAACTTTATTAATCTATTGATAACGCATACACATCTTAAGATTATATATATTCAAAACTTTATTAATCTATTGATAACGCATACACATTTTACCTACGTCGCTATTCAAATAAAAAATCTTACTTTTACCATTAAAGTCAGATGACTTATTCACCACAAATGAATTTTTTTAAGTGACACGTGTACTGGTAAACATCAAAAGTATATTAAATTAAGAATATTTATTTGAAATAGTAATTTTGTAATACATAAGTATGCAAATTAAAATTTATTATATATCAATTTGAATTTTAAAATTTAAAATTCTAACATTTTAATTATAAATCCTAAATTATAAATCTTTAAATATAAAAATAAAATACATGACATTATATAAATTTTATAAAACTAAAATTTACACAACATAATCTCAAATAATTTTTATACTAAAATCCTTAGATTTATCGTTTGACCTTGAAATTAATATGATAGGCTTTCAAAGGAGGCCCAAAATATTTGAATTAAGTCGAGATTTACCAAGATAAAACATTATTTATCTTCAATTACAAATCATTAAAACGACAACGTATATAGTTTTCTCTCTGCCCTGCCATTTCTTTTCGGCTTTCGGCTCATTCGATTCACGGCAAACGCAGAAAAACTAGAGCCCAAGCAAAAACGCAAAAACTCGATCTTCGACTCAGCTCACAGAAAAATAGAGAAGAATTAAAGATCTCTCTTGCTCGTTGATCTACCTTTCAGGTTTTCATCAATCTTTCCTGAGTTTCGATCTTGACTTGTGTCTGAGTTCGTTCTCCAATCGCACTAATTTTTGTCTTCTGAAATTCGGTCTTACGTTATTTTTCTTGAATATATTGTTTTAAGGATTTTAATGGTATAGTGGACTCCGTGTCTTTAAGTTTCTGTTTAGGTACTGAGAAACCCTGGAAAATGTGGAATCGGTCGATCAGCTCAACTGAACTGACCTGAATAGTAGTGTGTTTTTTTCCCATTCAGTTTTTTATAATTATTGAAATCTTAGTTTTTGGAAATGAGGTTTAACTCTCCACAGAAAATCTTCGATAACTAGTTGTCTTTCCCCTTGCCCCTCATTACCTCTTTAATGAAATACGGGGGATTAGTTTGTTTACCTCTCTTCTTTTAGGCTAAAATGTTTAGCATTAGTATGGCTGGTGCAAATTTGATTTTGTTTTACTGTTGTTATTTGGAGGGTTTGTTTTTTTGATAGAAGTTGAGGTCTCGTTAAAAACTTCCTTAATGTTCTTACATCAATACAAAACCTAAAACAATAACCCCACTTGTAAAATATACCTCAAGATGTAAGATAACATAGCAAAATAAAAACCAACAATTACAATCACAAACTTAAAAATGCCTCTGAATACAGCTGTCGAACAATCACAATCCAATTGGAGGATCAAGTTCTAAAGAAATATCGCAATCTTCAGGGACCTATGAATTAGGTTTGAAGTAAGGATCAACTTCATGCACCAAGATTTTGAATAAATGATCCCCGACCTTCAACTCCAACAACTCATTAATTCTCCCTTGAGCATTTGTGAGTATTTGAATTTTCGCCCGATCAAAAGACGAAGGGAACTCACAACTATTATCAATTACTATTAACTTGCCCCACTTAGTAGTTATGTTTTTGAAAGTATCTCAATTCCAAACGTAAAATGGAATACCTTCGCAAACTAGCCAAACGCGCTGGCTCTCCACCACAAGGCTCTCAGACCAAGTTTCCACTCTGGAAAACCATTTTGCAAGAGTCTCTAATTTATCATCCTTCACTCTTCTCAACGAATCAAAATCTTCAAAAACCATTAGAACTACATTTTCAACAGCTCTCATAAGCGTGAAAAATCTTCTCGTACTATGCAAAATTTCCTTATTTTGAGTATTGTGAAAAGTTTTCAAGGTCCAAAGTTTTTGTATTAATGTCTTAGGGTTTTCCCGCTTTTAAATCTTCATAACTAGTAAGACGTGTTACATTGTAATTTTTTTTTTTTGAATTTTTATGCTTTGGTTGTCATCTAATGTGAGAAAATACGGTGTGCAGTCATTATTTGGGAGTGGAACGTGGAAAAGACAGCGGTTTGTAGCGAAATGCGATGTCGTTAAGCTTAGCTGGACATCATTTTACTGGTGCCATTTATTGAAAGTCACAGAAAATAGGTTTATTGGTTCAGCTTATCGCAATTACTTTTCCTTTTCAGGCTATATATTCCGTACCAGCTTCTCAAATCTGGTTTGCTTCTCAACGAGGAATCGTTCTTTGCATGACCTATTGACACACTTGTGAGATGTCGGGGTTACTAAATGTATCACTACTTAAACTGAAAACAATTTTTTTTAGAGTTTCAATCTTTTAGAACATCAATCTTGATTTTGGACTTGCCTTTTTTTTTATTTTTCTAAATGTAGTATGTGGCTTCTGTAGGTGAATTTAGTTGTTTTAGCTGATGATAACCTGATCTATATTTATGTAGTTTGTAGATGCAACATATTGGATTCTGTTGTTTCTGTTTCTATGCATATCTGTATGTACTTTCCCATGTCAATACATTCTGGCATACTGATTTTAGGAACTTAAGAGTACAAATGTATTGATTATATAGGTCGATGGTGCTCTGTTAAATGTCAATTGGTTTGAAATATTAGTAACTATAGATCGGAAATATTCTTCCTATTATTGTCTACCATCTTTTTAATTGAAACTTTAAATCAAATTTGGATGTGTCATGTGATTCATGGCTGTTGTCAGTATTCTTTTCCTGTTTGGTTATTATTTTTTATTTCTGTATTACAAGTTTTCCATTAACTGGAAATTATAATGTATATCTGGTTGCAGTCTTCTATCAACGGATCAGCATCAAACCTTCCAGATAGTAGTGGACGTTCTTTTGCAACATCTTTCTCTGGTCAGTCTGGTGCAGCCTCTGCTGTTTTCCATCATGCTGGTGGGTAGATTTTACTGGATTTCCACACAACTATGTTCTTTGAAACTCATGCAATTTGTATTGTTTGTTTTGCAGGCAATATTCAGGGTTTGCATAATATTCATGGTAGCTTTAATGTTCCCAACATGCCTGGTACATTCACATCAAGAAACTCAACATTAGGTAATGTTCCAACTGCTGGGGTTCAACAACCTACTGGGAGCCTATCTGGTGGAAGATTTGCATCAAATAATCTTCCTGTTGCTCTTTCTCAGGTGCTTATAAATCATACTGTGATTTGACTTTCTATGGTTGCTGCAAATGCAATAAAAGTTATTTATGTTTCCTTCACCCTTCATGCATGTCATTGGGACAAAAACATACAAAAATGAAAATTAATAATATGTACTGAATTTGTTATGGAGGCTATTTTGCAGTTATCTCATGGCAGCTCCCACGGATATTCAGGAGTAACAAATAGAGGAGGTATTAGTGTTGTAGGAAATCCTGGATTTAGTAGTTACACAAATGGAGTTGGTGGTTCTATACCTGGGATTCTCCCTTCCTCTGCTGCAATTGGTAACCGCAATGCTGTCCCAGGATTGGGAGTATCTCCAATTTTGGGAAATGCAGGTTCTAGGATAACGAGTTCTATAGGAAACGTGGTTGGTGGGGGAAACATTGGGAGGAGCATAAGCTCTGGTGGTGGATTATCTGTACCTGGTCTTGCATCTCGTCTGAATTTAAGTGTCAATAGTGGATCTGGAAGTTTAAGCGTGCAGGGACAGAATCAATTGATGAGTGGTGTGCTTCCTCAGGGTACGTTACCTTGGATGATTACCACTAGATTTTGTTGTTGGCTTGAACAGAAGACTCTGTTTGCCTGTGTTGCTAGCTATTGTTGCTCTTGGGTACAAATGAGTATGATGATCATAATTTTTGGCTAACTTACCACCTCTCACACTCTATTTTTTTTTCTGGTCAGTTCCAGTTATTATAATTTAGTTGATTCCTATTCTTAGTTGATCCTGAATATATGTTTTATATTTATGGATTGTTACTTTTATATGATAGAATATGCATCTTGTAGATGAACTAATTTAGCTGTAGTTGTTCATATGAATGTCATTTTCTGTATTCAGGATCTCCTCACATGATTTCAATGTTGGGCAATTCTTATCCTACTGCTGGAAATCCTCTTTCCCAGAGCCATGCTCAAGCTGTTAACAACCTTAGCTCTATGGGAATGTTGAATAACATGAACGCAAATGACAATTCTCCTTTTGACATAAATAATGATTTCCCTCAGCTGACAAGTCGTCCTAGTTCTGCTGGAGGACCTCAAGGACAATTGGGTAACAGAAGAGTAGGACTTTCTGATTCCTCATTTGTCTTTTTTTCATGCTGCTGCAGTCTTAATATTTTAAGTTAAACTTGCAGGTTCATTGAGAAAACAAGGTCTTAGTCCCAGTGTTCAACAAAACCAAGAGTTTAGCATTCAAAATGAGGATTTCCCTGCTTTACCAGGATTTAAAGGTGCACAAATATTCTTTGATAAATGCTTTATTTCTTTCTCGCTTTTTAAGTCCAGCTTTAAGTTATATCTATACTTCATTTGATCTTTCTAGTATATTTTGTCTACTGAAATTTATGCACTGTTCTGTTAATTTAATATCTTCATTCTTATGATGCTGTTATTTTGTCTAAAATCATTATGATGTTCTTGACCTCATTATTTGATATTGTATAGGTGGTAATGCTGATTATGCAATGGATATGCACCATAAGGAACAACTTCATGACAATACCATGTCGATGATGCAATCTCAACAGTTCTCTGTGAGTTACATTTACAAAATTGAAAATTTATGGTTTATTTTCTTTTTCATATGACTTTTAAAGTAATTGCACGCTGTATTTACTGCTTGTTATTTATTTCCTTTTCATTTTCTAGAAAAGTATGTTTTGTCATCTTCATGATGTATGTATTTTGGGAGTTTATCTAATACTTGTGGATCATATTCATCACATTGCCCACAGCAGCAACAGCTACATGGTCCATCAGCCAGTAGTAGCGGTGCCTCCTTTTCACCTGTAAACAACCAAGATCTCCTCCATTTTCATGGCTCAGATATATTCCCATCTTCACATTCGAGCTACCATTCACAGGTATAGTAATCTGGTGCTTTAAATGGTTGCTTGCAAATGTAACCAAGTGGTTATTGTGAGGTTGAAGGATATATATAGATCTCTATGGATTGCATCTTTCTCAAATGGTACTTGGGAGAAGAGATTAATTTCTAATTTGAAAATCCATATTTGAGTGTGTTTTAGCAGCTGGATTGAATTGCAATTCACTCTTGGTCAAACCGGAACAATGTGAAATTTGCCCTTCCTTTTTTTTTCTTATAACAGCATGTGAAAAGAATTATGCATTGGAAGTTGAAGAAATTTGACTTCTTTAGGATGGACATATTTGAGTCGTTCATTTTCTTTCATCTTTTGTTCAGACCAGTGGACCACCTGGGACTGGGCTAAGAACTCTAAATTCGCCAAATACGGTTTCTGGTGTCGGTTATGAGCAGCTCATCCAACAATATCAGCAACGCCAAAACCAGTCTCAGTTTCGTCTTCCACAGATGTTGGCTTTGAATCAATCATCTAGGGAATCTGGCCTGCAATCAATACAGGCTACGCAGTCTAATCCCGACCCATTTGGGTTACTTGGTTTGCAGAGTTTAATAAAAATGACTAATCCTGATCTGACTTCCCTTGCTCTTGGAATTGATCTGACAACCCTTGGGTTGAATTTGAATTCATCGGAAAATCTTCACAAGACTTTTAGTTCTCCATGGTCTGATGAACCAGCAAAGGGTGACCCAGAGTTCACTGTACCACAATGTTATTATGCTAAGCAACCACCTGCTTTACATGTGGGTGTTTTCTTACATTTCGTATTTTGGTTACTCAATGCAATTGTCTCAATTAGTGGTTTTCCTCTAGTTCCGAACTCTGATTTCCTTTGATGCATGCAGCAAGGTTATTTTTCAAAGTTCACAGTGGACACATTGTTCTATATATTTTACAGGTGTGTTCATTTTAACATCTGTTACCTCCCTATTGTTTAATTTAAGATCTTATTTTAGTTATCTGAACTTCTCTGTTTCTAACACAGCATGCCAAAAGACGAAGCTCAGTTATACGCCGCAAATGAACTGTAAGCTCTCGACTGAATGAATTGTGTTGAAATCTTTATGCATTTTCCTTTTTTTTTTCCCTTCAAGCCCTCATTTTAACTCCTCTTATTGGCAGTTACAATAGAGGCTGGTTTTACCACAAGGAGCACCGAATGTGGTTCATAAGGGTTCCCAATGTTGAGCCACTAGTGAAGACGAACACATACGAGAGAGGTTCTTATCATTGTTTTGATCCAAAATCATTTGAATCAATCCGAAAGGTCGGAACTACAGTATCTCCTAATTCATTATTATGTTGCTTTTTAGTTTTTACTGTTATTCATGACTCTAGTTGCTGAATGTTGGTGACTATATATTTTAAGTGCAGGATAATTTTGTTTTCCATTACGAGTATGTGGAAAAGAGACCAGCTGTACCTCAACATTAACAAGGTGGTTTTCTTTCTCATAATTAAGGACGTAAAGCTAAAGGATGTATTTGAAAATGATTCATTAGGACATTAGAGTGTATTTTTGGAATATTTAGAAACTTTCAGCAAGTCCCTGGCGATCTAATTTCAATGACCAGCTCTCTTTGCTTCTTTTATATCCATTTTGGATTAATAATATTTTTATTGCTCAATATACATAGTTTCCCTTTCATATTGGTCCGTACACATAATTCCATGCCAAAATCGGGTTGACGCTGTTCAAGACCAAAGGTCTCCTGCAATGAAGCATTCTTTTAGAATATGATTAACTACCAAGATACTTCTTCTTCAACATTTCACACCGAGCGCATCATGGTTCATGAGCAATCGCCAACTCTTTCGAGTGAGCATAGCCACATTCATAGCTTCAGCTATCTTAAGAATAAGGCCTCCGTTTCTTTTGAGTTGAGGCCAATTTAACTTGGGATATTAATCCAGTCAATCATTTTATATATCGTATGAAAGTTATATTGGGTCTAAATAGATATAACTAACAGATAACGAGTTGGATATCTATAATTTTTATTATAAAAGTTAAATATGAATTTATTTGTTATCCAAATTATGTATAAGCAATATCATCTAAATTTGAATGTAAATTAATTAAATTCGATACCGATAAGTGGATAATAGATTTGGATTCTTCTTCTTGCCATGGAATATTTTTATTAAGGGTTAGCGGTTGTTGGACTAAAATCGAACTGATTGATAATGCAAGCTCTTTTTTAAACCGGTGATCAAAATGGTTTGAATAAAAATATAAGGGACAATTCATATTGCTTAGTTAATAAACAAAGGGAGCAACAGATATCTAGTTGCTGTGGTGTAGTGGTTATCACGTCAGTCTTACACACTGAAGGTCCCCAGTTCGATCCTGGGCAGCAACATTTCATTTTGAAACCAAAGCATGCGCCAACCCTGCTCGACTCTCTCATCGTGCCCCACCTCCTTTTTCGAAACCAATATTTATTTTCGTTTAAGGCATACTCCAATTTCATCGTGGAAAAAGTGCTGAGGACACACCATCATTTCAAGCCTGTTACGGAAAACACATTTTCTTTATAGTACTATTACTGTGTTAAACATTATTTGCAATTAACAAGAATTCCAATTCCCTTTTTACGTTAAGCGATATTGTTATTATTATGAAAACAAATATTTCGATTTAAGTCTAAGAGCAATGAAAAAATTTCGGATGTATGAAGAATTAGATAACACTAGTGGAAGAGTCAATAGTTTGTATGCAACTTTACGAAAAGATTAAATCAGAATCTCCAGTGCGTTCGAAAGAAAGGTGGAGTGGACCTAGATCACGCTCCTGTTTTCTTTTGGTCTTCCGCCCGTTCCTTTGTAATCATTCTCGGAGTGATTGCCATTGCCATGAGCTCCTGGAACAGCAGTTTACATGCGCAAGGGATATATACCTGTACAACACCAGTTTTATTCTTGCATCCTCTGCACTCGAATGAGCTCTTCTTTAGATTCGCGATAGCAATCAACCCACATCTCTCACAAACATGCACTCTGTATGCATCACTTTGGTCAAACAATCTCTCCTTGAGGAAATGGGAAGCACCATGTGCAATCATGCAATCTCTTTCCATCTCTCAGAAACGAAGACCACCATCACGGGATTGTCCCTCTGCAGGCTGCCTCGTTAGATCTGAACAGGACCCCGACCTCTTGAATGGATCTCATTGTCAACCATGTGCTTTAGTCTTTGGTAATATGTTGGCCCTAAGAATATCATAGCAGTAAGCCGCCTGCCCGTGTGTCCGTTATACATCATCTCAAAACTACGCATCTGATACCCACATTTATGAAGTGCTCTGCTGATATTATCCACCTATAGCAACAAACCAAAAGGATTAAAATGTGTCCACGGTCCCTAGATGTTAAAAGGAGTAGCATTTAACATAGTCTGAGAACAATAATTCAAGAAAATACCTAATTAATCTAAATGATTAAGAGATCGCGACTTACAGTTACATCTGTAAAAGGAGTATCATCCGCTTCCTTGCCCATGAGAGCTGCAACTTTTCCCATGATACACTCAATAAGCTGACCGATTGTCATTCGAGAAGGAATAGCATGAGGATTCACAATGATATTAGGCGTGATGCCTTCCGCAGTCCATGGCATGTCTTCCTGGGTGTATGATAGGGAAGTGGTGGCGGGTTCATGATCGTTACTCTTGTTGAAGAATCAAACCTAGAAATCTCTAGACTCGATGAAGAACAATAAGGAATGAATAGGGAATGTGGCACCAATAGCTAGGGTTCTTTAGGGTTTCTTTTAGGTGCTGGAAACAAGGTAAGAAACAAGATTAAAACAAGATAAACAAAAGATAAAAAAATTGAAAATAAAGTAAAATAACCAAGAAATCAAAATATCTCCCTTATGAAAGTGAGCGATAAAGATGATTGATGGCGTGGATGGATATGTAGAAAATTGATGGATAACGTCCTATCGAGCCCTCCTTGTCGTAATGAAAAGGCAAACACGATAATATGACTCTAACCAACCCTCCTAGTCGCAATGAAAAGGCAAATTGGAGTGTAAATTAATCTCTCTCACAAGAACTTGAAATAACTCAAGGAGAAGAAACTTCGAAGGCACAAGGCAATCAGCACTTGCAAAAACGAACTCTCGTTGTATTATTAATCAAAGAAATCTTATTTACAAAGTTGAATGAAACCTCCTTTATATAAGGACTGAGTTCTTAAGGTCCTAAATAACTAAAGAATAAAATAATAATAAACTAAACATGTCTTAACTCTAATTTATAATAAAATAATAATAACTAAAATTATTGTCTTAACCCAACCTTAATTCCTAATAAAATAATAAATCTGATCCTAAAGGATAATTTATCATCCTATATTAAATTATATTACAAATAATCAATATAAATATTGAAAATTCGTAATATTTACAAAATCACGTAATAATCCCGTATAGGATTTCCTACATGCACTGTATTCAGTAAAATGGCCATATCTTGAGTTTCCGATATCGGATTGATGCAATTCAAGAACCGTTGGAAAGATAAGAGACATACTATTGTATCTACAGAAGACATCTTGACCAAATAAGATCAGGATACCATTCAAAAAGTCATCACAAGTATACTTATGTTCTAATCTTCTTTTCCAATGCTTGGACGAGTGGATCATTTGGAAGAGTTATTACTTCTTCCTTTGATGTGAGCCTTGTGATGCATGTATCATCTTCGCTTTCTTCAAAAAGATTCAACCTCAAATATGAAACATTAAGGGAGCAACATTAGAATCGTTTAATGATTCATTCACATTATACTTACCGAATATATATGCTTTGAATCTTTGAGACTTTGTTCTTCTAATAGGTTCAAGTAGAAACATTAGTCCAAAGAAGCATGTATTATGGACTCTGGTGCATGTATCATTCCCCCACTCCTCAAAAGGATTAGTCCTCGAATCTAAAAATCTAAGAGAAAGAGAATTAGATGTGTTGAAAGGAAAACTTGTGAAACATTTACCAAGATCAATGTGATGTGTCTTTATGTGTTTTAGTCGAGGTTTCTTCTTTGTAGGAACTGATTTCTTGTAGTCTTGAAATCATCTTTTGCATACAAGTCTTGTAATTTGATGTTTAGGTTGAAATTCAACTTGGCGCCAACCACTGTTGGCTTTCTGTATGATTTCTTCAGATAATTTCTCCATGGTTTTATTTTTGTGTGGCGAGAATGGGTTTTTAAAAACCATGCCAACTGGTTTGTTAAAGTAATCCCTTAAGTCTCCTAAGTGTGGTTCATGAATTAATAATTCTCAGCATGAGATTTGTGGATTGTAGAACATTTATGGTAGTGCATCGTCTACTATGTTTTGCTTACCTCGGTCTTTAGACTCTCGTAAATCGTGACTTTTCATTGATATATCATAGTGATTAGGGCTTTCATGTGGTAACCCATCATGAGGGTCACCAAGCACTATTCAAACACTCTTGGCGATGGAAGATAGTGTGGGCTAGTCTCGTGTTGCTTTTACTTTCTCATCATTTACATGGATTCCCTGTGCATGAATTATAAAGCCTGTGGAGTTGTGTAAATCTTGTTTCGTCATTAAGATGGCATCACAACTAAGGTTTTCCTGGATATAGCATTTTTTTTAACAAATCTAACTCTTTGGTTTCTTCGAGATTGTATGTTTGACGAGGTATGATGGAACCTTGAATTAGATTGGTTTGGTGTTGTTTTCCTCTTTTCGGTGGTAATTCGTTAGGTGGATCACCAAACACTTCTCGAAAATCCTGTAACAAATATGAAAACACACTAGGAAAATCCTTGTTAATGTTAGAAATCGAAACAATTGATTCCTTAATACGAACAAGGATGGAAGGTTGTTTGTAAAGAAGATTCTCTCTTAATTCTTTTGTGCTCACATATAGATTTTGAGTCACTATTTTCTTCTCACAATTAGGTTCACTCACCTATCATGGGTCATTATTCTTTTGGCTTTTGTAACTAGTGGCCTCTTTTACTTTTGCTTTTTTCTCAACTTTTTCTTTTTTTGCTTTCCCTACCTGCTCACAAATTATCATTTGATCTTTAGGGGTTGGAAGTGTGTCATTCTTTGCTGGTCGCTCTTTCTCCTTGTCAGGTTTGTCATCTCTTGGCTTTTCCAGAGAAGATGGAGTAGAAGATGAGGAATGATTTGAAGGATTACCTTGGTAAGAGGATGAAGTACCTTGGTAATGTTCTCTGAATCGAAATCTCCTTTTGAATTGTGCTTCGATTGCCATTGCTTTATTTAGTGTATCTTCAAGGTTTTCGTACCCATGGAGATCAAGAAGATCAGTGATGTTTGAGTTTAAGCCAACGATGAATCTTGACACGGTGACCTCTTCTTTTTCGGTTATGTTAGCCCTATTGAGTAAGGATTGCATCTCCTTGTAGTAGTCTTCAACTGAACTTCTACCTTGTCGAAGTCGATGTAGTTGTAGTTTAACTTCTCGTGCATAATGTGTCGGTAGGAATCGTTTCCTTATGGTTTGTTTGAGGTCGGTCCAAGAAGTGATCGTTGGAATTTGGAAGTTTTGGATCTTTTTCCTTGTTTGCATTTACCAAGTTC